GCGTGCCCGTGGAGCCCGCTCGACTTTTTCACAACGCCGCCGAGGTCGACTACATGGCCGGCATCAGCTCCATGGACGGGCACATCTTTGCGGGCGTGGACGTGCCCTCCATCAACAAGAAGGCGGCAAACACCACTGTGTGAGGATCGCACCTGAAGTCACCTCCCAACTGAACCGCATCACAGCTGATGTCAGACCAGATCTCACATCCGAAGTCACATGTGATGTCACATCCTAAATGACACCAAATGTCACACCCGATGCCACATGTGACCCCTGAAATCACATTCAAAGTTAGATTCTGTCGCAAATAAGGTCACATCCGATGACACACCCAATGTCCTGCCAGAGGTCACATCTGAGGTCAGACCTGATGACACACCAGATGTCGCGCCATTCGACACCAACTGTCGCACTGACGTCAGTCAAGACGTCACACTGGTGTGAGTCCGGCCATCAGAGCTTTAAGCAAAACTTCCGCCGTTCCCGTCAGGGAGGACGTGAGGGACCTCCTGATGGGCCTGACCAAAGAAAAAGGCGCGGCAGCCGTGGGCTCCGCGTTCAGCGTCTACTCCGCCCACTGGGGCTCCAACCCGGATCCGGCGGTGGTGAAGAAGACCGTGGCCGACATCGAGACCGACTTCCTGTTCCTGGTGCCGACCCAGATTGCGCTCCAGCTCCACGCCAACCACAGCAGGTCGAGATCCAAAGCGGCGGTGACTTTGTCTTGACTTTCGCCAGAGCGCAGGCCAGTTCGCTCAGTTTAGCCTCGCGCCCGTTTTGTCCCTCAGCGGAGGCCGTACCTTCTCCTACTTGTTCAACATGAAGACCCGCATCCCAGGCTTCCCCAGCTGGGTGGAGGCGGAGCATAGTGAGGACCTGCAGTACGTCTTTGGCAAGCCTTTCGCGACGCCGCTCGTCTACTTCCCGCGACACCGCGACCTCTCCCGAAACATGATCGCATACTGGACCAACTTCGCCAAGACCGGGTACGGTATGAGCAGTCCCCAGAAATGTTGACAGAATGTAAAAAAATTATCCGTGACTCCGGCCTGATGTTTTCCCACGCGGGTGTCTTCATGTCCCAATGTCTTCATACCCGCACGTCTTTGTGTCTCCCCGGTGTCTAGCGATCCCGGTTACGGAGACAGTAAGGTTCCGGTCCCGTGGCCCGCCTTCGGCAAAATCCATCGTCCCTTCCTGACCATCAACCACAAGATGACCAAGTCGTCCGTTGGGTCTCTGTTCACTCTCCGTTGACTCGCTCGTGGACTTCCCGTCAGAGGTTGCTAACATGTTACCTGTGTCTTCTCCAGCTACGACCTGAGGCAGAATTACGTCGCCTACTGGACGGAGATGTACAACACCCTGCCGTCGGCGCGGCGACCTCAACACGAGTGACGCAAACGCAGCCGAGGAGACGACGACTCGCCCGTAATCAGGCGTTACCGAGCATTTGTGCAGTTAACGGCTAACGAGATGACAGGATAGCCCTCTGCGTTACCCAGTCAAACTTTGATTCGGTGAAGAAATTCAATAAACCGCCTTGAATGTGTCACTGCTCTTCTGAACAGGAAAAGAAGCTCCAACGCTTTTCATGGAGATCCACCACACGCCAACTTCAATCATACTCGGATACTATGTTAACGATACTCTGCTACAATGCAGTCTGGTTTTGCTTTGTGGATGAATGGCGCTTTCCAAAGAGCTTCTGAACTATTAAGACACCCCCCCCCAAAAAAAAAAAATCAGAGAGAAAATAATCCCCCCCAAAGGTTTGTCCAAACCAATGATTTGGAACATTGTTGAATACAAGGAACCCTACCGGTGGAGCTCGCTTGGCAACACCAAAAGGCAGAACCAATCCAGAATTCATTCACTACCCTTGACAACCGCGCGGCAGAAAAAGATCGATCGAGCTACTTTGGTGTACATTTGTCCTGGACGACAATCAAGAAAAGTCTTCACCCGTCGAGCGACTACAGAAAAGTTCAGCACAAGCCTCCAAAACAGGAAGGCCAGATTAGAATGTTCCGCAATGGCCCGAAGTCAATCACGTGATTGAAAATCACCACTTGCTGAGCTGACAAAACGGAAAGACATCCACTCCGAGCAACAAGGTGTCGTGTGTATGGGAGAAAAAAAAAAAAAAAAAAGACATAAGAGTTAATATCGACTGATAAAATTGGTCAATTAAATAATCAGTCGGACAACAAATTAGCACCAGACCCGACTGCTCTGTTACTGACTGGCCACTGTCGCTTGTGTTTCGGATTTGTTTTGCATGGTTGCGCCTGCAACAGACGAAACTCGAGTCAATCTTGCTTCCACATCTTTTATTGGAATTGATTATTTCCATCTGTAAATTATACAACTTGACTCCTCCTCCCCCCAAAAAAAAAAAACAAAAATAAAAATCACGGTGAAGCCACAAAAAAATGATTTTCGAAAAAGTATCAAATCAGAAAAGTGGCGCGGCGTCCAGAGCTGCCACGCGGGCTGCGAACAGTGCCACGCTTTTCTCCACGTGAGCGTTGACCGTCGCTGGAGTCGCACGTGGATTCTCACGCACGAACTGAGCCACGCTCAGGATGCACTCCTTCTGAGCTCACGCACGCACACACACACACACACACACACACACACACACACACACACACAC